AAGATAGAATAGACTGTTCTAAATTTGGGGAGAAAATTATAAATCACAGGGTAACCTCAAAGAAAAATGAGAAACTTTCACATCAAAATAAAAAAGAGGACCAGCACAAATATTTAGCAAATACTAAAACAATAGCAATGAAGGAAGTGATAACATGATTCATAAACAAAATGAGCTCAGCACAGAAAACGATACGGAACAAAGAAATCAAAACCACAAAAAAGCACATAACAAAGTGACAGCAACAAAATCATACTTGTCAATAATTACATATCTGACAAGAGATTTATCTCTAAAATTTATAGAAAACTCCAACATCTCAACAACAAAAAGATTAACAATCCAATTTAAAAATGGGCAGAAGACATGAATAGACACTTCACCAAAGAGGATATTCAGGCGGCCAGCAAACACATGAAGAAATGTTCATGATCATTAGCCATCAGAGAGATACAAATCAAAACAACGAGATACCATCTCACCCCAGCACTAGTGGCAAAGATTAACAAGACAGAAAATAACAAATGTTGGTGAGGATGTAGAGATTGGGACACTTATACACTGCTGGTGGGACTGTAAAATGATACAACCACTGTGGAAAACAGTATGGTGATTCCTTAAAAAGCTGGAATTAGAAATACCATTTGACCCAGCAATCCCATTACTCGGTATATATCCTAAAGAAGTCAGATCCAGGAAAAAAACAGATATATGCACACCCATGTTCACCGCAGCACTATTTACAACAGCAAAAAGATGGAAACAATCTACGTGCCCATCAACAGAAGAATGGATAACCAAACTATGGTACATACACATAATGAAATACTATGCAACCCTAAAGAGTAACATAGAATATGCAAAACACCACATAACATGGATGGACTTGGAGGACATTATGCTTAGTGAAATAGTCAGAAGGACAAATACAGTATTAATTCATTATCGTAAAAAGTCAAGGAAAGGTTTACATATGGAAGGAAACTTTCTTTGTTGGTTACCAGAGGTGGAGGGGAGGGGAAGGAACACTGCAAAAAAACAAACAAACAAAAAAATGAGCCATGTCACTTTAGTTTTGTGTATTTCATTGTACATAAGTTATATTTCAATAAAATACATTAAAAAAAAAAAAAAAAAAAGAGAAAGAATTCCAGCTAACAAATGTTAAATCACCATTTGGCAATATCATAGTAATAACTTACTCAGACCAGAATCTTATCAATGTATGCTAAAAAATTTAGATAAAAATTGGGTGGAGAACAAGATATAGACAGTCTCAGTGTCCCTCAAAAAGTTAATTATTAAACACAAAGAGAAAAACAGTGGCTTTATAGTGGGGAAACCTGGCACAGGTCACTTTAATCAAGGGCTCAGAGTTAATACCAGGTGTCAGACAAAGCAACATCTTGGATATCTACCGGATAGAATGCACCTAGAAGGAAAAAAAGAGGACTTTGATCCCAGGTCAACAAAATGATTCTGCTGAGATCATGGTACCCTATCAGCAAACCTGAGCATATCATGAATGGGCACTATCCTGGCCGTAAAGTGAGTGTGTTCTCTCGGGAGCCACTCCAGTCTGCCTGGCAGAAGAACTATTCAACTCCACTCAAGGAAGCTGTCCACCTTAAGCCAAAAACAAGTTCACTCTTGATGTGATAAATGACATTTTCCAATACAGCCTAGTACATCACTTCTTATGGACGTATTTATAAACAAAAACAACAAAAAACCTCTGACAAAATGCAAACAACATTGTTAGCAGTACTGGCCCACATGTGCACACACTAACTTATCCTGTGTATTTGGGATAATTCATAGAACTTTTTGATGCTTAAATTACCACTCTTCAATAGATCATGTTTCCCTGAAAAGAATAACCAGAAACCTCCAAAATGGGGCAAGCACAGGCTCCTCAGGAGGGCTGATTTACTCCCTTTTCACCTGTCCTGTGAGAGCTACAATTCCCACTAAACTAGCAGACATCATAAATGACACAAGTTCTGCTCTGGAAGCCTAACAAGGCAGTCTGAATATAAATCCATTGTCTAGAATAGTCATGGACAATCACCTAACACTTGATTTCTAAAGGACAATTTACATTGAATACTTCTGATTGTACCTATGTAAATGCTGTGACCATGTCAAGTCAGCAACTCACCAAAAGGAGCAAAAGAGACTACCCTCAGTCTGACTACAATGTTCCCTGGAAAACCTCCTGATCAGCTAAATCTCAGCAGTGGTGAAGTTCTGGAGAACATTAGTCTATATCTTATGGCCTGAATTAATCTGCTTTGGCCACAAAAAGGGGGCCCAAGAAAGGGAAAAGCAGCTTGGAACAGTGAGGAGCTCTTCTGGCCCTTTTAGCTGGGCCTTGGAGATGAGCTAGGCAGGCACCCAGGTCTGAGTGTCCTGTGAAACATAAGCAGTCTTAAAGGTACCTACATCAGACAGGGACACTATGGGACCATAAGAGATCAAGATAAAAACAAGACCACTCTGTAATCATCTCTGAACGTAACAATATGAATACTGCCCAAACCATAAAATGATCAAATATCTCCCATCCTGGCTAATGTTAGAGACACTATTACTTTAGCAACTATAGCTTTATTTATTTATTGGTTCATCTTTTTCTCAAAACTTTGTATTTTGATTTGGGTGAAAGTTTATAGAGCGCATTCGTTTTCCATTCAACAGTTCACACACATTTTGTTTTGTGATACTGACTGCAATACCAGAATGTAACAGCTCTCTTTCCACTTCCTCTCTGTGGTTACCTTTTCCCCGTGTCCTTCTTTCCTATGCATTCCTGCCCCCTGAGCTATCTCCCTGTGCAAATACTGCTCTTCTAATTGTCCATGGTTGATTGTTCTAAGGAGCACACCTCCTAGGTGTAAATGTTTACCTCATAGTCCTGTCTATTGTTTGGCTGAAAGTTAACCCACAGGAGTAAGTTCAACTCCAGGCCTAAGGATGACTAAGAGCCATAGTGTCAAGAGTTTCGCTGGTTTATATCTTTTTTAGGATTTTGAGTTTTGTTCCACATTTTTCTCTCACTCTATTCAAGACCTTCTAATGTGATCCCTTTCAGAGAGGTTGGTAGTGGGAACTAGGCACCATCTAGTTCTTCTGGTCTCAGGCTTGTGCAGGCTGAGATTTCCATGCCCTATTAATCTCTCGAACTAATTGTTTCCATGTGTCTTTGATCTTCTTCACTCTTCTTTGCTCTGGACAGGACAAACCAATGGTTGCACCTTAGATGATCACTCACAAGCTTTCAAGATCTGATTTGCTAGTCACTGAAGTAGGATGTATAATGTTTATGTGTACTATCTTATGACAACTGATCTTGATGTCCCGCGAGACCACAGTCCCGAGCCTGCAGGCCCAGCAACTCACTCCCTCCAGGTGCTTGCTGTGGCTAAGAAGTTGTCATAACTTAGCCCTTGTTTTCTCTATATGGACATTTTTATAGCACATACAAATACATATATAAAAACATCATTTGCCAAACCTGTAAATGGTCATGGGTATATCAGCTTGCCTATCTACCTATGTATCCACTCTTAAAGTTTGTTATTACTGATAATGCAGCATTGTGTACATAAAAATATTTACCTTTGTTGTCTGCAACTCTTGTGCATCTCTCCGTGTCTTCCTTTTCCTTACTGACATGTGCTGGTCATCCACTTTTGGTATACTACCTTTCCCTTCACCCAAATCAGTATGTGTCTCTTATTTAGCTAGCAATTTTCCCTCACCACACCTCCCATCACTAGTAAACAACAAAGAATGTTTCCTTCTGTGTTGTAAACCTTTCCTTGATTTTTTATAATAGTGAACTTATACAGTAGTTGTCCTGTGATTGACTATTTCACTTAGCATTATATCCACCAAGTTTGTCTACATTATGAAGTATTTTACAGATTCATCATTATTCTTTAATGTTGCATGGTATTCCATTGTATGTATGTACCAGTTTGGTTATCCATTCCTCCTCTGATGGACACTTAGGCTGTCTGTTTCTATCTCTTTGCTAAAGTGAATAGTGCTGCAAATGAACAAGGGTGTGCATGTATCTGTTTGTGTCTCGGCTTTCACTTCTTTAGGATATACACCTAGTACTGGGATTGCTAAGGAGCTCTGGTGGTACAGTGCATTTAACTGCTAACCAGAAGGTTAGTGGTTCAAACCCACCAGCCACTCGTGGAAGGAAGACAGGGCAATCTACTTCTATAAAGGTTTACCACTTTGGAAACCCAGTGGGGGTTGCTATGAGTTGGAATTGACTCAATAGTAGTGAGTTTGGTTTTTTTGAGTGGGACTGATGGATCATACAGTATTTTCATTTCCAACTTTTTAAGAAGGGTCATACTGTTTTCCACAGTGGTTATACCATTTTACAGTCCCACCAGCAGTGTAAGAGAATCCCAATCTTTCTACATCCTCACCAGCATTTTGTTATTTTCTGTTTTGTTGAACTTTGCTATTGCTGCTGGAGTAAGATGAAACCTCATTATTGTTCTGATTTGCAGCTCTCTAATGGCTAATGATTGTGAACATTTCTCATGTATTTGACCAACTATAACTTTAGTCTTGCTCCATTCTTCTTGCCCTCTAGATAATAATCATTAAGCTATGCAATCATAAAATTATTCCTGCTATCTGAAAGCATCCATCCACAGCAATGCCCCACAGCCTTGAATCTACCCCCCAATCACCCAACACTACCCCAAAGTTCAGAATAAGTTCTTTTTAACACCCTGAGATGTTGTGGGGCTCCCCATGGTGTGTGTTCTCCCTTGCTGAAACACATCAATAAATCCAACTCTCTATGAAAACAAGTGTGTTTCTGGTGGTCTTTGGCCAAAGGGTGTTGACACTCCTCACAAGTTAATAACTAAGGCTGAGCACAGAGAAGGTCCTAAGTGACCCTGTCCTGGATGCTTCTGACATAACTAAACCCTTTACTAAATTTTTCAAAGTAATTAGAAAGCTATAAAGGAGAAGGTAACCATACTTTCTCAGCAACCTTTACATGCCAGACACTGTTCCAAGTGCTTTCATATCATATTTCATGAAATTTCCAGCACAACCTAAGGAGAAAGCTATAAACAATCCCACTTTACCATGAGGAGAGTGAGGCTCACAGAGGTTCAGAGAAGTGATGTAGCATGATTTAAGTTATATAATTAGGAAGCTGGGCCAGATTTCAAATCAAGGTTTTTTTTTTCCTCCATAGTCCATGAGATTTCCCAAACCTAAGGCTGCCTAAAAACCTGAAATTGATACAAATAAAATAGTGATTATCTGAGTAAAACTTCTACTTAACCTTATTAAGGGATCTGCTTTTCCCTAAGGGGTTAATCTCCAGAAGGAAAATGGCAAGCCAGAGAGAAAGTATAATGAAAGGAGAAAGACATATCTCAGCAGGTAATTCCTCAAGGGTGAAACAAGACTGGTTGCTTGTTCTTGACACAGTTTACAAAATCTATCAAAAAGGAGTTCAATTCAAAAAGCAGAATTGTCTTAGGGGACCAGTCTAAAAGAATAGACATAAAAGCACACTTTGCCTTTTTGCTTTTCACTTTTTTACAGGTTTACTGTTTCCCTTGTAGTTTCTTTTTTCTTTGATATTTACAATAGAATAATGTCCACATTTATGCCTTATTGTAAAATAAGTGGGTATTACATGGTTTTGTCTGTGTGTTTTCTTTATTTACCTGTGAATATAACAGTGTTGAGACTAGACTTTCCCCAGAGCTCCATGAAGTGGACCACATCCCCAAACCGGAGGGAAGGGTGCCCAGTGAACACCACACATGGCTGTCTGAAATCGTTGCTGAAGTCTCCATGGATGCTGGGGTAGTGCTTCAGTTTATTGGTCTGAATGAGCTAGAACATATAAAAATATACACAAAGAGACGTTAGCCTGCTTAGGCTGAAGAAGATCCAAAGCATGAGAAGATTGCAGAATGCAATTAAAACACAAACAAACCTTATTAAAAGTAGGTAAAGACCAACTATTTTTTTTTTAAAACATATGTGACTCTGAATAGATCGGCAAGTCCTTTTGGTAGTATTAACATGCTTCAGTGGAAACTTTTGTTCAGGTTGTCATGGCTTGATTTAGTCTAACTCTCTGTTATAGCCTCCTCACACTTAGAGCCCCTGCCTCAGAGTCCTCACTAAAAGTTACCATTTGAAGTTACTGGCTGTGAAACATTAAGTTCTGATAACAGTAAACACATACATAACATGAGAAAAATTGTTTACCAGTCCTGGAACTCTTCTTGAGAAGTTATAGCTTTGTAACTATATGTTACTGCAGCATCTCAATAAAGGCAAAGAGTTAACCGGCTTTCTGAAATTTGGGAGACATGACACCAGGGAGCCATATTAAGAAGCAGGCCATGTGCAGCCTGAAACTTGTCTCAAAAATCTATACTTTGAACCAAAAAAATGTTTTCTTCAGCACAACACTTGATAATGTTCTTTCTGATAATTTGAGGCCCACACCAATGTAACACCATATACTGCGATAGCCATAGACATCTTACAATACTGCTCAGGAACTCTGCCTGGGTTTCTGCCTGCTGCCTTGCCCTTACCCCCACTACCTGACTCTAGCATCAGGTGACAAACATCCAGGATTCACAGAACTTCATTATCAAATAGGACAAAGAAAGAATTGCCTGAGAGGCTGTTTAATAGATAAAGAAATGGTCTATGACACTGCTTAATCCCTTAGTAGCCCATAATGCATAAGAGGGAGCATTATCTATTCAAACTGAAGCCACCCCCTGGTGAGGATGTGTCCAAAATGGAACAGTCATCAAATGTAAAGCTGTTTTGACTTTGAAGATTTCTCCTTTAATTTAGAGAGGCTTCCTTTTATCAACAAGACCACAACACTACCTTACAGATCTTAATCAGGTGTCATGTGCTTGGTTGGGATATGGAGAATAGAGATGGAGCAAACATCGATTCCCACTTTCCTTCCAAGTCATTTAAAAATAAAACTGACATTCTTTTTATAATCTATGTGGACAAAATCATTACTTGTTCCAGTTCAGTGAGAGTGGCTATGTAAAGGACTAAGTCTACTGTACCCACAGATGTCAAGGAGATGAATGGGATTCTAAATATAGCAGGTCTTTGCACACTTAAGTCACTTTTTAGTCATTATCTAGAGTTTCTGCAGTTCTACTGATCAATGCATAGTAACTGAGGTAAATTCATCATTTTGCATGTTGGATCTACCTTTCTAGCTTTAACTATATAGAATCACCAGTGCACTGATTTAAGGTCCAGATCTTATAACAAAATAAAGCTGTCAGGTAAGAAATCTGTATTGGATTTTTTTTTTTTTTTTAAATCAGTACTAAAACCTGAACCATATTTTCTCATGGGCACTAGTAACAATACCAAGGGTCAATGTCACCATTTCCTGACGATAATGTGTTTCAAGAACCCTGATCATGCAACTATGGTCTTTCCATGTTCCTAATTGTAAATGGAACAAAGGTCATTTGCAACATACATGTGGTAAGACCTTGGTAACACTCTTGGAAAAAACTCTGGTGGTGGCGTGACTTGGCATCAAGTCAACTCCAACTCATGGTGACCTCATCCATGTGTGCAGAGCAGCATTGTTCCATAGGGTTTTTAAGGCTGTGATCTTTCGCAATCAGATAACCAGGCCTTACTTATGAAAACAAGCTCTTAATCAAGGCTGATAATGATTAGGGGAGATGAAAATAGACTTTCAATGGCAAAGTGCACCATAAAATGTTTTATCACACTGAATTTTCTGACATTATCATACTTCTAGCCTGAATTTCAGGATGGTAATGAATTTCAAACTCTAGGAGAATCTTGGCTGCTGTAATAGTATTTACAGTGTAACTGCCTCGAAATATTCCACTTAGCATCCTGGTTCATAAAACACCTGTACTTCATCAAGCTCAATTGGCATACTACACAAAAACACTGTTCTACCTCCTACCTTGGTGAGGAATGACTGGGGTCTTAACAGCTTGTGAGTGATCATCTAAGATGCAACAACTGGTCTCTCCTCATCCAGACCAAAGAAGAGTGGAAAAGATCAAAGACACATGGAAACAACCAGTCCAAGGAACTAGTGGACCATGGGAACCTCAGCCTACATGACCTTGAGACTAGAAGAACTAGAAGCTGCCCAGAAATCACTGCCAACCATTCAGAAAGGGATTGAAATTGGAGACCCTTAATGGAGTGGGAGAAAAATGTGGAATAAAACTCAAAATCACAAAAAAGACCAGGCTTACTGTTCTAGTAGAGACTGGTGAAACTCCCAAGACCATGGCCCCTAGTCACCCTTTGGACCTGGAATTGAACTCACTCCCATGGCTTAACCTTCAGTCAAACAACAGACATGCCTACAAGATGAACAGTTACGCCAAGGAAGTGCACTCCTTAGAACAATCAACCATGGGAGATCAGAAGGGCAGCATTTCTGCAGGGAGAAAGCAGACATACATAGGAAAGAAGAATACAAAGAGGAAGTGGGAAAAGAGCTGTTATACTGTGAGGACTATAATCAATGTCACATAACAAAATGTGTATGAAATGTTGAATGGAAAATGAATGTGCTCTGTAAACTTTCTCCCAAATCACAATGAAAAGTTAACAACAACAACACGTATCTATCCTTTGGAGCAGGAAGCGATCAATCAAATTTAAAATAACTAGCAGGAAATATGTTGCACTTTAAGGATCTCTGGTGGCACAGTGCCTAAGGCATTTACCAGAAGGTTGGTGGTTCAAACCCGCATGCTACTCTGGGGAAGGAAGATAGGCAATCTACTTCCGTAAAGATTTACTGCTTTGGAAATCCAATGGAGGTTGCTATGAGTTGGAATTGACTCTATGGCAGTGGGTTTTTGTTTTGCTGCAACTTATGGTATGCATTAAATAGTTAATTATAAAGTGAAGAAACCTACTAAAACCCTACACATGTGGATTGGCACACATATGCTCTAAAAGAAAACAGTCCCTCAGGCCTACCTGAGGAACAGATTTTACTGTGAAAGAAATGTGAGATGGTCACAGTTAATATAAATGTATTATACAATAGTGCATTCTGTTATACAGTAACTATCACAATCAGGAAACTGCCACTGATGGAATACTGCCATCTAAATTACAGGCCCCATTTAATTTTTACCAACTGTCTCAACAAATGACAAAACAGCAAAAGAAAGGGTATTCTCTTCCTAGATTCAGTCGCTGATCACGTGGTGTATCTACTTGTTATAGCTCTTTATTCTCTGAGTAGTCCTCAGTCAGCCCCAGTTCCTGTGTCTTTGACATATTTGAAGAGTACAGGCCAGTTATTTTGTAAAATGTCTTTCAATTTGGGTTTGATTGCTGGTTTCTTATGCTTAGATCCAAGTAATGCACTTTTGGCAGAAATATTCCAGAAATTATGCTACTTTAGTCAATGATTCATACATATATGATGCACATAATGTATTTTTGACCAATTATGGGTGATGTTAATGTTGACCACATGATTATGGCATTCATGGACACTTTCTCCAAACTAAAGTTATTATTTTTCCCTTTATAATTAATCAGAATTTAGTGGGGGCACATTTTGAAACTATGCAAATGTCTAGTTCTTCATAAAATTGTCATATACAAACTAGTTTTAGCATCTGTTGATGATTCTTGCCAGAATAAATTATTACTGTGATGATTCCCAAATGGTAATTAAGTAATCCCATTATCCTTCCTATGTTAATTATTTGGTGTTCTAGGTTTCTACTTATTTATATCACTACAAACTTGTTCTTAGGTGCTGTCGACTAGTCTGCAACTCATAGCAACACTATGTTAGCAGAATGAAACACTGCCCTGTCCTGTGCCAGCTCCACAATGCCAGCTATACCTGAGCCCACTGTTGTAGCCACTGTGTCACTCCATCTTGTTGAGGGCCTCTTTTGTTGACCTTCCACTTTACCAAACATGATATCCTTCTCCAGGTAATGGCCTCTTTTGACATGACCAAAGTAGGTAAGATGAAGTCTGGCCATTCTCGCTTCCAGGAGCATTCTGTTTGTACTTCATCTAGGACAGATTGGTAAGTTCTTCTGGCAGTCCATGGTTCTTTCGATGTTCTTTGCCAGCATCACAACTCAAAAGCATTGACTCTTCTTCAGTCTTCCTTATTCATTGTCCAGCTCTCACATGCATATGAGGGGACTGAATATACCATGGCTTGTGTCAGGCACACCTTATTCCTCAAGGAGACATCTTTGTTCTTCAGCACCTGAAAGAAGTCTTTTGTAGCCAATTTGGCCAGTGCTATATGTCGTCTGATATCTTGATTGCTGCTTCCATTGGCACTGATTGTAGATCCAAGTAATATGAAGTCTTTGACAACGTCAATCTTTTCTCCATGTATTGTGATCCAACTTATTGGTCCAGTTGTGAGGATTTTATTTTCTTTACATTGAGGTGTAATCTATACTGCAGAGTGTATTCTTCAATCTTCATCAGTAAATGCTTCAAGTCATCCTCACTCTAGGCAAGCAAAGTTGTGCCATCAGTGTATTGCAGGTTGTTAATGAGTCTTCCTCCAATCTTGATGCCACGTTCTTCTTCATATAGTTCAGCTTCTCGGGTTATTTGCTCAGTGTAGAAATTGAATAAGTATGGTGAAAGGATACAACCCCAACACTCTCCCTTCTTGATTTTAAACCATGCAGTGTCTATGTACAGGTTCCTTATGAGTACAATTAAGTGTTCTGGAATTCCCATTCTTCTCAATGTTATCCATAATTTGTTATGATCCACACAATCAAATGTTTTTGCATAGTCAATAGTACAAGTAAACATCTTTCTGGTAT